ACTAAAACCCAATCGAATATTAGTCTCTCTTGTTTTCCCGTGCTCTAGGGAGTAAGCTTATTCGTTTCTTTGTTTCTTGTATTGTTTCTTTGTTACTAGTTCTCTTGTGTTGACTTTGGTTCTGACGAAGGGCTAACGCTCGAAACGCGGTCAGCTTTGAAACTTCTTATGGTGGTCAATTTACGTTATCAACTCAATTGATAATACAAAATTACCATGTTATACTCTTTCACCGACGCAGTACAGACAGGAACTTACCCCCATATACACATTTCCTTTCATAGATACATTGAGGTGTTAACAAAACACAAAACGGAAAAACTTACTTGGGAGAACGGAGTGGCGGAGCATTCTTTCGCTTTCACGTAAGTAAAGTCACCAATTTGTGCTTTGTATTCACATAATGTTGTTTCATTTGTTCTTATGAAATCCTACGGAACACGGAGAATATTGTGCGGCGGTGCGAAGGTATAAATTTTATTTTCGAGTGGTAAGAACAAAATTTCTCGATCGAGCACCGCGGGGGAATAAACGTTCCCTTTAAAGCGGTAATTCGAATCTTCAAGCCACCGTCTGATTTTCGTTAGTTAAAATGGATTAGAAAAGAGGTGTAAATTTTCTGGCGATTTTACTGCAGTGACTATTCTTTCTTCCCGTTTTGCAAGGTACTCGTCGGAAAAATTTATCGTCATGTGATGGTTTCCTTTATGTTAAGTCATTTGCTTGCTGAAGGGGATGATTTTACTTCAGCTTTAGAACTCGCCAGGTTTTGCTGACAGTTCTCACGAACAAACGTGAAAAAAGGGGAAAAGACGTCATTACACGTTCATGATTTTAAGTTAAAATCACAAAGTATTCTCTCGAGAGGCTTTCTTCGTACTTGATACTTCGGTGCACTTCGTTACTATTCGGTTAACAAGTCCGGAGGAGATCGTTATTTTGGTCGGTGAGTTTACTGCGATACTCGGGAACGAAACCTCCGAGTGTCGCCGTACGGAATCATTGTGGAGAGTGAGATCTTAAATTGGCCTTCCAAATAAAAAATTACTCACTCTTAAACTTCCAACGTCATATTTTACAGTGCTGCTGGGACCCACCACTCTGTGTTTTACCCAACGCTTAAGGTGAGAGATTGTTGTTGGTGTTTGAACCTACGACTTACTTCTCAGCTTCATGACTCGTGCCCACGACAAATTTCTTTAAGCTACACTGAAATAGATTTAAGAGAAAATTTTTGTGGCAAAATGTGATGTCATTCATTGAATGACACGGGCCTAAACGGAAATAGAAGACTCTCGAGTGCTCCCAATGGGAGTCGAACCTACGACCTTTCGATTATTACTTCGGATGCTCTAGAAAACCTATGATAGGCTATGTTGTTTAAGTAAGTCCATGGTGACGAACCTCTTGCATACTGTTAGGATAGGATTGTCGGTATGTGATGCTATTGTGCAGTGGTGATATACATTAAGATCATTTAAGCCTGAACTTCCTAATATAGGAATATCGATATTTGATGCTTTTGCGCAGTGATGATATCCATAAAGATGATTTAAGCCTGTGTGGTGTTTTCTGGCTTTTTACTTGGTTTAGAAGACACAGTTGACGTAAGGCAATAGAAAACAAAAAGACAAAGAACGTGACGTGAGAGTCGTGTGTCTTCTACAACAAGGAGCCTGTTTTTGAGTTTCTTTAACATACCATAAATGAGTTTCGTCTCATTTCCTTGTGTCTCAGTCTATTCAAGTGCGACTGGATCTTGCCAAGGAACTTGAAGTTGGAATCTCCATCTGGGAGATCGGACAAGGGCTGGACTATTTTTACGATTTATTCTGAAGGCTTATGTTTACTTCATTACATTTTAAGCACCTGTGAACAATATAACAGCAACAAAAATGTAATAAATTATTCATATCAGACGTGTGGGTTTGTTTATTTGTTTTTCAATTTTTTTTTGCGATTTCTAGACGATATTTAAGCGATACTTTAATTAGAATGATGCATCCAGGGCTATTGAGAGCCGCGACGTATGTCGTCGTTTTCTTGATGAGATCTTCGCCAATGATTGTTTTCTTTGAGCGACATATCGTTTCAGCTCAATAATTTGTCGCTGCAGCTCAGCGATATGTCGGTTTACGTACAGCGTTGTGACCGTTTGCGTGCGCAAACGCATCCTTCGACTAAATGTCACCGTATTTCCACTTCACTGTTCATTTCAGGCGTTAACGCGCGTTTTACACACGGGGCAATCGCGATAGTGCAATGAAAAGTTGATCAGCCTTCAACTTTTACGACGGTTTTCGCGCTTGAAAACAAAACACATAGTATTGATTTTACGTAGCAGTGGACATTGCCTACGCACGTTTGCTTTACGTAGCTTTTACGTGAGGAAAAATTTACGCGACACCGGAAGTTCATCTTAAGATCGGCAGAATTTCTATTAGAATTACACTTCCTGTTTAGAGAACAAAGACTGTGCATACTATTCGAATATTTTGTGACGTCAGGTAGTTTGGTCGTGTAGAAGTTGGGGTTTTGTAGGTTTATCAAAGGCATGAGGGGGCATCACCCAGAGAAGCATGTTTTCGGGGAGCACATTGAAAGAAGGGGAAAGGAGAGCTTGTGAAAGTAGAACTCAGCGAGCATGCGACTAGCCTTAAGTTAGGACATTATGCCGTCTTACACTAGAAAAAACAATAACCTTCACATTAAAAAAAAAATCGTCGTCTCATTATCTCAAAAGTTGCCTGATCGCATTGTTTTCTTATTGAGTGAACCATAGCACTCTTTGTGCGACAGACAGCGTACCTGAAACTTTCCTTGTGCATAACTTTTTATTTCACGCTCACAAAAACTTAAGTTGTGGTTAAATTTACCGAACGCGATGACAAGAATCTCAGTACTTTAATATAACACGATAATTTACAACTTCTTATGTCTCAACAGGTTTGCTTTTTTATTGCGCGCATGAGTAGAAAACTATTACTTCTAATTTTGTTTTAACAAGGCATGTAACAAAGACGAAAGCGCCGATGGGATCACGCACTGATATTCCTTTTCTTTGCTCAATTTTTGCACGCACCACAAAAACTAAAGGGTGTGCGTATACTTCATTAGACTGGAAAACATAAGTTTAGGACTTTCAAATTACCCGCCTTTTCACAAGACAATCAAATTGCTAAAAATAGCACAGTGTTTATTTCAGCTCTTTCAAAGCCGCTTTATTAATTCATTCCAGTTGTGCGTGTTCATTCCTTTGGGTTTAGCAAGTGTTTCTTCCATTTGCTTCACGGCTTGCTCGATCGGTAGAGTTCAGAAAAGCAATGAGGATACAAATAGAATTTGGAATGAACCCTTTTTACCCTAAAAACATCATTATGTATATTTTTCGCATTTTTCTCTGCACATTTCCCTTGCTATTAACAAGGAAAATTTCCAAAGCGATCAAGAACGAATCATTTCCTCTTGTCTCGTTACGTTAACTTTGATTCACAGGTGACATAAATGGCAGTCACAGTTTAGAGTTAAAGGGTCAAAGGACAGGATGGAGTCAGACATTGATTTCAAAGTTCGCGAGCCACTTAAAACAAAAGAGATAGTTAATTCCACACAAGAAAACAGTTTTAATATATTTCATGGAGCTTCCTCAATGATCTTTACACATTTCGTCTAATAAACAATGGGCAATCCATACGATTGCAATATTTTAAAATTTAAATACATAATTTTTCGCTTGTTTCCTTTATAAAGAATGCGTCTCTTTAACAGTAATAATAAAGATGATTCTCCGAACTTCTTTCAAAGAAACTTGGATAGTTTTTCTTTTATAAAAACTGAAACTAGTATGCTGGATGTTCTGCCAACAAACATAAAATGAAACGATGGACCTAAACTACCTCTGATTTGAAGACCGGAGAAAGGTTTTCTTTGAAAGAAGCTCGCTGATCTCAAAATTTAACTTAACATTAACGAATAAATATTTGGAATTATTTTGAACAATGTTCGACGAGAACATCTATTAATTGATTAACCAGATAAATAACGCAATATGGAAAAATATATTCTCTCTTGATAAACACTTTGTACATTCTCGGTCCAGTTTCCCCAGCGGGCTAGCCGCCATATTACCCGGCATGCCTAGCATGACACTGTGGTTGGGCTGTATGATAATTTATTAATAAGAAAGGCGTACGTAACTTATCACAACGAAACCAGGAGGAATGTGTCATGGAACAGAAAAACTGATGATCTGAGCATTTGTTTTTGGTGTATAATACGAGTGTCGTAAAACCGAACTAAAGTAATTGCAGCGGCCTATCAGAAGAAAGGCACATACTTTTAAGAACCATTGACAATTCATGTTTAATAGTAGTGGATATTTACCGAGCCACGAAGCCACGAAGCAACGAGGTAAATATCCACCACATTCACCGACACTGAGGTGAATAATTGTTTTAGTATAAACCACACAAAAACCAAAAATAATGGTTCATTTCTGTCAAAAGATGGTCGGAAACTCAGGTTTTGACGCACGATTTTGTCTCCGTGGGTGCTCAAAGATAAATAGTACTTGCTAATCACTTCCAAACCAGCCAATCAATGCGCAATAAAATCACTATTCACCTGTGAGATATATACTGATTAGCTACGAGCTCGGAACATCAATTTAACCCTTTTTTGCATTCCACCTGATTTATCTGTTGGCGTATGGATCAGAAGTCGAGCTTCTACTTTTCAGCCAATAGGAAAAATCCTCTTTAAATCAGATAAAGGCTTCCCTCCTTTTATCTTCAGTAAAGTTTATTCCCAATTTCTTCAGTCTCAGCGGTTATTTTTTAAGAAAACGTTTACTCAGTTTGTTCTGGTTTATGATAACTGTTCAACTACTTTTATACAGCAAAGCAAAAGTGAAAATGGCTTATCAGATAGACAAAACAAACTTAATAGACTTACTCAAGCATCAGTGGGAGCGTAAAGATAACGCTTTCGTAAGGATATCAGCGTTAAGCACAGTTATGGCAAGAACCAACTGGATTCCTGCAGTTCTTTTTCTCTCAATGAAGAACTCGCTACAAATCTATTTATTCCTCATGTTTTACGCCTAATTTAAAGCTTAAAGGAAGCCTTATTGGGCAGTTGCATATTTCTGTGTTATTTTTACAAAGCCACAGAATAGAGCGGAGCCCTCAGCGCGCGCGCAGCGAGGCACTAAATCTATTATATTCGGCAACACTTATTTTAAGTCCTCTAATGAAAAATTAGGTGCAATCGACAATGTACATGTTGCTCTGACGCGCAAAATTACATGGATGAAGTCATGATAACTGGCTACTATGTTACCGAGAAAACAAAGAAGGTTTTCGTTTGTTAAACACTTGCATTTCATCGAAGGCAAGAGCGACAAAAAAAATGGTATATTAGGATATGCATATATTGTTGGTTCGACAAGTCGCCAAAGCAGTTTTAGCTGCTATGATGAGTTTCAAATGTTGAAGAAAAAAGTTAAAAAGGTAGATGCAACAGTATTTTGACTTCAACCTCAACATTCTCATCTTTTTATAGGAAAATGTTGTATATATGGTTTGTGGAAAATGATTGCGCTATTGTGACACATTGCAATTATTGCCAATCGTGCTCCTAATTGGCTGAAAGCATTTCGGGTTCGATAACCAATTTTTTTAGCATGCATATCTGGCTTTATAATTTTTGCTTTTAGAGAAGCCGAAAATTTATTAATCGAGTCTAGGAAAAATAAAATTCATTTCGGTATGATTGTTAATATTTCGATCGATATCGTTTATGTGACTTTTGAGTACGTGAAATACGTTCAATCCAAATTATAGCTACTAAAAGGCAGGTGAGGACATGAATAAGAAAAGACTGCAAGCATGTGCACGGCTAAACACGACGGGTAATGTTGACAGGTCCTTGAATTTTAAGGATATCGGCTAGCGACAAGTAACTCGTGACTGGTATGTTAGTGGTATAGCATGTAAAGACACTCTACAGTAAAAGTGTTTCTAAATACTGACTATATCATACAATGAACGCTTACCTTTCGGTGAAAATAAATGAGATAAGAATAAATACCTTTTCTTGTTAAATACAAGCGTAAACCATATCTCCGAATTCGTTGGAATACAATATTCCGGTGTCAAAAATGTTTTTGAAAAATATATTGATCTTTCTCCTTGTCATAAACAAAAGCATTGACCTCTTACGAAGTAACAATGACATCTTACGTGCTTGACAAAATTTCAGGATACATAAACGGATGGATGCGCATTTTCTCCAAAACGCATGTCGAGGGGCTTAGAACCCTCTAAAAGGCAACGCCATTTATTTTTGCCTTGTTTTTAATCGCTCTTTTCCTGCGTGTTTGCTCACCCATGAGTTATGGTATCAAGGGAGGCTATTCCAGACGGTCTTAATGGCAGGAACGTGGCTGGTGCCATAATCTTCATGATTGGTTGTGTAAATTCGGTCGCCATTGGTCGAGAGAACTGCATGGCTTGGATGCCATTGGTCAAAGGATTTGCCATTGTAAGAGAGTGATTTCTTGGCGTTGCCGTAGTTATGGGTGCAAAAACCGATGTGCATACAGTGGTTGAGTTAGCAGAATTGTTCTGAAGATCTGGTCTGGGTGTGTTGGTTATCTGAAAGGCAATCTGTGGTGCAAAGGAATCTTGTTTGTTTATGCCATTTGTTTGGGTCATTCCGTTGGAATTATTTGAATCCGGTAGACACACCATGGGGTAGGGCGGCGACCAGTGGACATTCTCTGCGTGGCCGTTAATCCCGTTTTGTCCGAGTGACCTATCCTGGTCCATACCAGGATGTGTCATTCCTCCATTGGCGTGGCCGTTCATGCCATTCATTGAATGCATCCCACTGATGGCATTCATTCCGTTCACATTGT